CATACATACATACATACATACATACATACATACATACATACATACATACATACATACATACATACATACTTGTCTTTTTGGAAGCTAAATGTTTGTTTTGACAGAGTATAAACCGTTTAGATCAAAGATAATAATATGAGAAGTTGGGTGTTCGGGATTAGCAATTCAAATAAACTTTATTTGTAATTTGTCATGCCTCCAACACTAAATTAGTGTTTGGAGTTACTTATGAGCCCAAATAAACTTGCAAACTTGCCAGTCTTTGTCTCCTCAGTATACAGAAATTATAATAATCAGTAAACAGGCAAATCAAATGAACTTTATTTATAGAGCACTTTTAATCGAACTAGAAATGTGAACTGCTGTACAATAAAACTCTAAAGTAGTTTAAAGTGTGAGCCAAAAACAATGAATTTATCAAAATAGTAAAGTATGAAACAAATAACAGCAGATTAATACATTTATAAAAATGCATGAATTGAAAGCCAAGCAAACTGCCTTAAGCTAAAATTAACGTTGGTATTTATTTTTACAGACATAAAAGACTTTTGTGACTCGAAAAAGTGAACACTGAAACTACACATGACTTTAAGGTCCTGCTTTTCTGAAACGACTTCTCGTCGCTGTTTTGACTCTCCCCGGCCACCGTACCTGCAGCAGCACACTGCGGGCAAATAAAAACATCAGGGCGATGAGTTTAGTTTCAGTGGTGTTATTAATCACCACCCAGTTCTAGCTGTGCCTTAACAGACTCCATTGTTGTTCCMATGTTGAATATGGTTAGTTTACAGACGGACACTCCTTAAACAAAATTTTATATTTAAAAATGGATCACCTCCTTCAGGTGAAAATCGGCGTTTTGATCGGTTTGCTGCTCCTAACTCTCCTGTTTGGGTTTATCCCTGCTCGGCTTCAATGGTTTCGAGACATCGGSTCAGGTAAGTACTGACCATGGAACAGCCAAATAAGTATATTTGCTGTGCGTTTTGTGATTATACAAATGACTATTTTATTTCGTCTTAGAGGAGAGACAGTTCAATCTCAGCCAAACGCGTCAGGTTTGGCTGAGACCAAAATGTAAATTTCTCGTGATTAGTTTATTTGTTGCTTCACAACAATAATGCCGATGAAGATAAGATATAATAAGATGTACTTTTCTGCTGTTAATTTTCCTTCAAAGTGAATTTCTCTACGCAAATAAGCAAATACCAATAAATTAGAATATAGTTTGGCGAAGAAGGGCTCTGCTCGATTTATACGAATTTACAGCCTTTAGTTAAAATTTTATCGTACAGTATTTCCACGTGAATCACATGCTTTGTGTCTGATAATGTTAAACATTTTACTATTGCTGATATCTCATCGACTGTTCCTGATAAAACCCTAATGATGTTCCTGAGACCAAAGAGAAGAGATACCGTGTTCAGGAAAATAAAGGCATTGTTTAAAACTTTAATTAGGCTAACTGTCAATCATGATCAAAACGTCCTTTGAAACTTCACTATTAACATTTTTGTGTCTTACCAAAGTGCGGCACTGCTTAAAAAGTTTTCCACTTTATTATTCTAAAACTTTAAGGTTTTAGTTGGTAAAAATGGTTTGCCCTCCTCTCAGACWGGCAGGAGTCACCTGATGAGGATGAAGCATGAAGCTCAGACCACGCCCCCGCAAACACATGATTACATTTATTTTCATCATTAAAAGAACAATGAAAGCGTCAAGATGGTCAACTCTTGGCTTTCTTGGAAGTGAAAGTATCATTTTCATTACATCCGTGTTTGTTATTCTAACCTTTGTACAGTATCATAATAATCACACGATTCTCCAAAACTTATCCTAGTTTCTAAGAAATTGTCTTGTCAGAAATGAGCAATGAATTCTTAATACCGCATGATTCAAATTTTTATTTTTCCCCATAGTCAACTTTAAATATTTTGTCGTTCCAGCTACTGCATATTTAAAAAAGAACAAAAATACATTCCAAAGTGGGCACTAAAACCCTACAGTGCAGCCTGATATGACCTAAATACATCAAATACTAACAGGCATCAAAAATAACTTTATAGATTAAATAATTTCATGTTATTCTGGTTTAATAAACATGTAATCCTTGAGCTAAAAATATAAAATTGACAGACATGTCAATTTTAATAATTGTGTTTAATAATAATTGTGTTTTTGCAGCTGGTTTTGTCATGTGTGCTTAAGGTCGTCTCCTAAAAAATGAAAAGAAGTCCTCTTTTTTTCTGTGTTGCAGAATTCCATCGCCAAGTGCTGAGTTTGATCAGCTGCTTTGCAGGCGGTGTTTTCCTGGCAGCCTGTCTGCTTGACATCATCCCAGACTATCTGTCGGACATCAGCACAGAACTCAGTTCTCACACAGTCGACGTACGTCTGAGGAAACAAAACATTTACACTGAGAATTTAATCTGGGATCATTCTTTATACTGTAGAGATATTTATTTTACTCGGCCTACACTCCCAATTTCTAAGATGTTAGACCAAAATATGGAGAAAATAACTTTTTCCACTTTTTAATTTATTTTTTGCAGTGGCAGACTCCTGCAGGTATCCAGAAGTGTATATTATCTAAGTACATTTACTCTGTTACAGTACTTCGATCATTTTTTTGAGGATTTGTAGTACTTTTTAACTTTTACTTTTATTTTGTAACATCCAAAACAAAAACATGTATTTTACTTCTTTAGTTTAAAATGTAACACCTAGTTACAAATTTAAATATGAGTGAACTCATCATGAAAGGAGAAGTGTATGCACTCTAAAAAATGAAGTGTTGAATTTACATAACCAAGTTACAATAACTGGGTCCACTGAACTGAGTTGAGTAAATTTAAAGCAGTTTACTCAGCTGGGTTTAGTGGAACCAGTTTGGCTCAGTAAATTCAACACTTCACTTCTTCGCGTGTAAAAGTAACTTTAATTATACTTTCACGATTATTGTGAGCGGTACTTAAGTACTTTTCTTGTCAGTGAAATTAATTTTTTCCAGTCATTTTCTGTTAAGGTATTTTACTTTTTTCTCTCAAGTAGTTTATATATCTCTGCGGTTATTGTAATCAAGATAAAACCAAATATTGTTGGATGACTTAGAATGTTGAACCTTTCTGTTTATATAATAAAATAGTTATTTCAGTAAAGTCTGACTGCATCAAACTGAATTTGAAATCTCGATGTCAACAGTCCAGCTTTCCTCTGCCCGAGTTCATCATGGCCTCTGGCTTCTTCATGGTCCTCATACTGGAGAAGATCGTCCTGAACTGCCGGCAAGTCCACGGCTCTCGTGACGAGAGAGCCCCCCTCCTGACAGAAAACCGAAACGGCCACGTGCAGCACGATCACGGGCCGGTGAGGGGCCCCGACCTGGAGAGCAGTGGGCACCACGTCCACGTCGACTTCCAGGCTCACTCGCCTTTTCGCTCCTTCATGCTCTTCCTGTCGCTCTCGCTGCACTCGGTGTTCGAGGGCCTCGCCATCGGCCTGCAGAGCACTGACACCAAGGTGAGCTGACGCTTCAGCTGACGTTGGAGCTTCCTCTCGTTGTTTGCTTCTGTTTTGCTTTCACAGTGCCTGCAGCTTCGTGTTCTCTCCCTCGCCTCGTGCAGCTTCTGCTCCGACAGAGGGTCAAATGTGCAGCTCGTAAATACATTTAAAGGAAACTTTCATTTCAGGGCTTCGGGACTTTCTACGAGGAAACAAATCACACGGTCACATGATTCAGATCTGCTGACCGCAAACAAGCCTGAACTGTGCYGGCCTGCTTAGCCTCAGGCTCACCTGCATCTCTGTGTGTTCAAAGGTTCTTTATTGTCATCGTGCGCAAAGAAATTACATTTGGTGGCTCTCKGCTCCAAAACAAACACAAGCATAATTTAAAACGTGAAAATGCACGCATTAAAATCCTCAACCGTCTTAAATATACAGCGGGTAAAATAAGTATTGAACACGTCAACATTTTTCTCAGTAAATATATCACTAGAGGTGCTAATGACATGAAATTTTCACCAGATGTTGGTAACAACCCAAGTGATCCATACATACAAAGAAATCAAACCATAAATGTCCAGAAATGAAGTTATTTGTAATAATGTGGAATGGCACAGGGAAAAAGTATTGAACACACTTACTGAAATTTATCTAATACTTTGTACAAAAGCCTTTGTTGTCAATGACAGCTTCAAGACGCCTCCTGTATGGAGAAACTAGTGGCATGCATTGCTCAGGTGTGATTTTGGCCCATTCTTCCACAAAAACAGTCTTCAAATCTTGAAGGTTTCGTGGACCTCTTCTATGAACTCTGATCTTTAGTTCTTTCCATAGATTCTCTGTTGGATTCAGGTCAGGTGATTGGCTGGGCCATTCCAGCAGCTTTAGTTTCTTTCTCTGAAACCAACTGAGAGTTTCCTTGGCTTTGTGTTTGGGCTCATTGTCTTGCTGAAATGTCCAGCCACGTTTCATCTTCATCATCCTGGTAGATGGAAGCAGATTTTTATCAAGAATGTCTCTGTACATTTTTCCACTCATCCTTCCTTCAATTATTTGAAGTTTGCCAGTACCATATGCTGAAAAACAGCCCCACACCATGATGTTCCCACCTCCAAACTTCACTGTTGGTATGGTGTTTTTGGGCTGATGTTCAGTGCATTACTTATTGTTTTCTTTGAAACAATCGTACCTGCTAATTCCAGGTCTTTCTGAAGCTCTCCACAAGTGGTCCTTGGCTCTTGGACAACTCTTCTGATAATTCTTTTCACTCCTCTGTCAGAAATCTTGTGAGGAGCACCTGGTCGTGGTCGGTTTATGGTGAAATAATGTTATTTCCACTTCTGAATTATGGYCCCAACAGTGCTCACTGGAACCTTCAGAAGTTTAGACATTCTTCTGTARCCGATGCCATCATTATGCTTTGCAACAATAAGGTTGTGAAGGTCTTGAGAGAGCTCTTTACTTTTACCCATCAGCAGATGGTTCTTGTGTGATACCTGGCCATCATTTGGGACTGAACCWGCTGATATTAACTTGCACTGACAAGGGGCAGGCTTGCTTTCTAATTACTGAGAGAGTTCAGCTGGTGTCTTGGCTTTCCATGCCTTTTTACACCTCCCTTTCTTCATGTGTTCAATACTTTTTCCCTGTGCCATTCCACATTATTACAAATAACTTCATTTCTGGACATTTATGGTTTGATTTCTTTGTATGTATGGATCACTTTTGTTACAGACATCTGGTGAAAATTTCATGTCATTAGCACCTCTAGTAATATATTTACTGAGAAAAATGGTGACGTGTTCAATACTTATTTTACCCGCTGTACAAACTGCTGACACAGCAGACCTGCAGGAACAGGAACAAGGAGAAAGTGTAGGTAAAAGGTTGTGGTTAGGGCACAGAAGAGATGAATACTACAGCTCCTGTCAGTCTGCCAGTCTAAAGTGTGGACACTTTCTCATTCAATAACCTGAGAAGGTACTCCATGTACAGAGAGTTTTACTAGTACTGTAAGTGTCTGTACAGTAAGATACGTCAGGAAGTGGTCTGTGGTTTTACCTGTAGCACACTGAAGGAGAACTATATGTTTACCAAAGAAGAGCTGTCACCGCTGCAAAGTTACAGTACATTAAACACACACAGGTCTTCTCTACCTTCTATTATTAAGACCGTGTATTGACTTCAGTTCATTTCTGTAGCCTAACCTTACTACAATCCTAACCACCCCCAGTACACAACTAACCCTAACCTAAACTCAGTTCATGCCTAAATCAGACTCATTACTTTATTAATCCCAGGGGAAACTGACTTTATTACAGTTCCTTCATGCGAGGCTATAAGATGTAACCATACAAAGAATATTAAAGTAAATAAATATATTAATCAGAGGGAGAAGTTGTGTAGTTGGAAGGCCACAGGCAGAAATGACTTTCTGTGGTGAATGTTTACGCTCAGTCTTGCACTGAACGAGCTCCTGTGATTGRGCAGCACGGCATGGAGAGGATGAGTGATCTTGTCCAGGATGGTACATAGCTTCGACAGCATCCTCCTGTCTGACATTACAGCCATCGAGTCCAGCTCCTCCCCCACAACSTAACTGACCTCATAAAACATAAACCTTACCTCTAGCCCAGACATTACACTCCACTGTTTTAAGACTGGGCTCTGGTCCCCAAAAGGGCTACTGATCCTGACAAGGTAGGTGTGTATACCAGAAAAAGGTAACAAAACCCAGGCACACACACTCACACAGTGTTTGATTGCACATTTTGACAAAAAGTAATTCTAGCACTTCCTTCATTACTTATAATGTTAGACATTATTTGATAAACATTTACTTCAACTGTAAAACAAAGACTGTAAAAATACTGTGGGCTGTTTAGTTTTTATAAATTTAAAATATATTGTAGARATGTGACGTTCGCGAACGATCCGAATCTTTTGAACGGCTCTTTACAATGAATGATAGGAGGCGAATCACAGCCATTATCGAGCCATTTGTAGTTTTATTTTCTTTTATTCCTCATTATAACCTTTATTTTTATTTTTTCGTATTTAAATCGCTCCTGTTTTGCTTTTTCACGGAAAACAGGCGGAGTTGTGGAGTACAGAAGCTCACGGTGAAAGGGGGATGGGGGTTACCCCTTGACAAACACATGGTTCCACCCACGTGACGGGATTACGTCATTACGTACGCCTACGTGATTACGTATTTCCCTACGTGATGATGTATACGTTCAAAATTGAATGGCTCTTTTGAATGGCTCTATGAAACAAACAGCTACGCAAGATCTGGATCCCCTCAAAGAGCCATTWATCCCATCTCTAATATATTGCCACATGGCACCATTTTCTTAACGGATACCGGGTAAATGATGGCGTTCACTAGGCTGTGTGAGCTCTTATAWACCCTGAAGGTTAATCTTGGGCAATATCTGACGATCAGCCTTTTTAAATGAAACCAGAGTGCCTTAACAGAGAGGAGAGGTTAGAAATGACTCAGTCTGAAACTGAAAATGATGATGGAGGACCTCAGTTTAGCCTGTTAGCTTTTGTGCTAGCGCAGAGCTAATACATATTAAACATATGTCGTTATAGCTACGTATAAACTAACGCCACATATTTATTAGTTTAGCAACAATACATGTATCTGTATCGAACTGTTCAATACACACTATGTATCGAATGATACAAATTATTTTTAAATTTATTTGATCAACACGTCTTCTGAAGCTGCTCTGTGTTGGAGGATCAGTGGATCTGTGTTCGACTACTCCACCTAGACTGCATTGTGGAGCACAGATCCACTCAGAAACTTGCTGTTTCAGCAACATTTAATTTAAAAACTGTACTTTTAAGGTTAAACAAATGTTTATTATTAATTTCAATAAATTACAAGTTAATTAGGACATGGAGATTTATATTCTCTTAATTCTATAATTTATATTTTGGAGTGCTGTGCAAATGTGGATGTGTAAGTGAGGCCACAGATTGTAGTGTAAAATGTTTTGAGTATCCTGATTGGGTAAAAAGTCTCTTTTATAAGTGCAGTCCATTTAAATTTATTTATTTATTTATTTGCTGTGGTCTATTAAATATTTAATTTGAGTAGTTTTCACCACTGTTCTACTGTACTCTTTTTTTTCAAAATTTTTGAAAACAGAATAGCAGCTGAAAATTTAGTTTTACCCCTGAATTGAATACATAGCTCATCTTCTTACAAAGTAGACTATAGTTGATTTAAAAACTCCCCAGAGCTGAATGTGGTTAAATGTGTGGAAAATCAGCCTCTGTTGACTTTGAATATCCTCAGTTTAATGTTGATTACATGTTGAGTGTCTCAATAGGTGACACGCGGCAGACACAAATGTTTTTACTGATTCACTCCTCAGTATGTTTCTTGGAGCGAGTCATCACTGATAGCTGTCTTGTTTTGGCAGGTGTTGGAGATCTGCGCTGCTATTCTGGTCCACAAGAGCATCATAGTGTTCAGCCTGTCCCTGAAGCTGGTGCAGAGTGCGGTCCCCTCACTGTGGATCGCAGCGTACCTGACAATATTCGCCTTGATGTCCCCGATAGGCATCGCCATCGGCATCAGCGTGATGGAGGCCCAGCTGTCGTCCGGAGCTCTGATCCAGGCCGTCCTGGAAGGGCTCGCTGCAGGGACCTTTATTTACATCACCTTCATGGAGATCCTCCCTCATGAGCTCAACTCTGCTGGGAACCAGCTCCTCAAGGTGATCTTCATCCTGGTGGGCTTCAGCATCATGGCGGGACTTATGTTTTTCTTGGGCTGAGACCTCATGGGGCACATCGAACTCAGGAAAGACCAGGGGGCACATTGCTCCTAACAGAAAGGTGACTTTAGGACTGAAAAGAGTTGTGCTTGAGTGGAAGAGGAGGCTCGTTACACTGGTTCAGCTAAACTTTTGGACATTTTTTTATGTCAAAGAGAATTTAACAACATGCTAGTTTTTACCCACGTGTTTGATCGTCTTTACATGATGTGATGCCAGATAATTTTCACACACGACTTCTTTTTTTTTGTTTGTTTAGTAACTAAGTTTTGTCAAAGAGAAACAACAAAGTTAACTGACCAAACTTCAGTTTGTTTTAAATAACTACATTCACTCCAGACAACACACAAGGTCCTTTCTGTTTACATTTTATTTGTGCGATAAAGGTGACGTTTTCAGCTAGTTTATAAAATTAATTAAAAACGTTTAGCTGCTTTTGATTAATTTTAAATAGCTTTCTAGGTTTTTTTTTTTTTGTTGTTCTTACTGAGAAAAGAGTGCAGTTCTTCTGTTTGTCCAGTTAAAACACTTCAGTGACTGACTCCTTGTTTTCAGTGGACAAAATGCACAAGTTTAACGTTTCAACAAGATGAGACAACAAGGATAATTTCTACCAAGTATCAGCCAAACTATAACCAAATGTGAAACACAGAAGTGAACCTTTATCTTCATGATCAGTAGTTGCTGAGAGACTGGGAACTCAAGAGGAAGGTGTTTGTGAGTCAGATTCACTGAGGCTCTAAATGCAGCTGCAGCCTTAAACTCTTGTTTCACTTCTTGTTTTAGTTTGTCATGTGACGATCAGATAGTTCCTTCATCACTGCCCGAGGGAAGGAAACAGAAAATGATGATTCAGCAGGAACAAAAACACTTGGCTGCAGTTCTAATTTTCAATCATAAGACTTTATTCAAATGTTTGTTTTTATTTATTTATAGTTTTTTTTTGTGTGTCCCATCAGTCTGACTTTGTAAAACCTATGAAAATCTGACTTCCTCATTGTAGAACTGACTTTTATTTCCTTATGATCATTCATCTCGTTTGAGGTGATTTGTATTCAGTTCAACCTGTGAACAGATCAACGCTCTAAAAAGTAAAACTTTCTTAAAGAAAAAACGTTAAATTTGTAATGTATTTATTTGTGGTAGTTAGACTGTCCTCACAGATATTTTTCTTTTTCTTGTATTTTGTGTTGTAAAATATTTGTATGTCTGTTTTAACATTTTTTAAGGTGTTTTTATGAATTACTGGATGCATTTGAGTAACATGGTGTTTGATGAATTTAACCACCAGATGGTAGAGTTTATCCTCTGATGGACAGAAGGAGGCACAAAATTAAGTAAATGAGTCTTTAGTAGATTATTTCTTTGCAACAAGGCTTCTTAGCAATAAATGATATGATTGGCAGCACTTGGGAGTACCAGAAGCTCAAAACACGTGTCAGCAGATAGAAAATAAGCTGTTTGCAAAGAAGATTTGACAAATGTTTCATGTGAGCAGCCCACACACTCAGCTTTACTGCTCATCCTACAAATGCATGTTCCTTACAAATGTGGCAGCATTTAAAAGGGAATTTAACAGACTTTACAACAATATATATATATAAGATTTATTGCCAGGAAGCATTGTTACAAAAAAGAAATAATCTACCAAACACTGATTTACTTATTGTTGTGCTAAGTGGAAAAATGGTTCATAGACATTTTTCTTTTTTAAAAGAGATCTTTTTTATTATTCACTAAAGTGAAATCTCAAATTTAAATGTCACCATTTGATGCGCTGTATAAGGTTTTAGTGTAAGCTAATTCACATCTGCAGTCCCTTGACGAGTAACAAAAAGGACATACAATGCAATAATAAAACAAAACAGAAAATATAACTACAAATTGCTTTTTAATCACAATACACAAACACACACATGCAGACTTAATCACTGGTACACACACACACACACAGAGTCATACAGTTAATGTTTACACATCTGAGCAGTTTTAAACAATATTTTCTAATTAAATTTGAAAGCTCTCAGAGAACTGCAGCTCCTCACATCATCACTTCTGATTCAGATTTCTGGAGGGGAATGTCACATATTTCTGTACAAATATCGACGTAAACGCAATATCTCACTGGAGATAATGAAATAATACAAAGCTGTGTTTAGTTTAGAAACATTTTGACCTGGAACACCTGTTTATGGTCATCGCACAGCACAAAACGAGTCACGTTCTCTCAAACAAAAAGGACAGACTTTGATTTGCGACCTGAAAAACACATCCTTCTGCGAACTCGTGCTTCCTCTCAGGTTTTAAATGACCTCAGCTGCGAGCTGGAAACATGGGTTTGATGTCGAACTCGGAGGCTCCATTAACCCTTTTGTTGCTGCGTCCAGCTTGTTATCCTTGAGCGTCCACTAATGAGCGTGACGGAGGAACAATGGTGCAAAGTCTGCCAGCTTGAGGAGACAGTGTCCTCAGTGTGTGGAGCAGGGAGAGCCAGCTGTACAGCAGAATCTGTTCACACACACTGACCCYGTCTTCAGACACAGGATTCTGAAACTTAAACATATTATTTTCTGTCAGAGTTAATATGGTTTGACTCTTCATGCTGTTATGATTTGTTTTATTTTCAGACTGAAAGAGAAAAATAAGTGCTGGAAGGGAGAGGAGAGCATCATGCATACAGTATCTATTTTGGCCTGAAAACTGGTAATTTAGCTTAAAAAAGAGTTTTAAATTCAGGGAAATCTAATTTGATTGTTTTCCATCATGGCAGTAACTTGTCCTTTAGCTAAAATACTTAGTTTAGTTGCAGTACAGTATATTTACAAGGATTTTCTTTATGAGTTAGGAGCAACAACTCATCCTGTTACCTTGGACTCCAGCCTTTATAAACTTTGGTCATTAAAAAAAATGTCTAAATAAACAAAAGACTGTAAAAACAAAAGTAAATTACAGTTAGAGAAATTGTTCTGTTTGTTAAAAATAATTACACAACAACAACAYAAGGATTTTTTTCTGGTGAAAGACAGAAAGGAAAGTGGTCTGAGGGGAACTGAGCTGATCAGGAGAGCTGAAGAAGGTCAAGTCAGGTGACAGACAGGAAGGTCAGAGGACATCTAGTGGGCAGGTAAAAAGAAACTCAATAGACATGTTGACTGAAAAGTCATGATCACAATCAGATCTTCAGTTCTAAAAGTGGGTCCAGATGAACAAAGCAGCAGGTCAGCTATCAACAGCACCAACCCACGAGTAAGAAATCAATCATTCTGAGACAAAATGACACAAAAATGAGGTTCAACAATCAGCAAACATGCTGCAAGAAAAAAATAAAAACAGTTTCATAAAAACTAACATTACCTTCGTCTTTATGACTGCAGTTAATGAGAGGAACTAGAAGAGAGGCCAGTCTGTCTGATGCTGTGCAGTCATGGATGAATAATCTGTAATCTGGGACACAAAACAAGTCGCCTCTCAGGGGGAGTTCAAAGAATGTGCAGAGGAATGTTTAATGTGGAAACGAGTGCTCCTTTACAGGTGGTGGTCTCACTCCCACAGCCCCTTTAATGTCACACGTGATGAGCATTAACTGGTACTGCAGGAGGTGAGAAAACACACAAGTTTTTGTGCAAAAATGACACAATGTTCTTCTGTTTTTGTGTGTTTTTCTGATACGCATTTGCATTTAACATTGGCAGTTTGATCATTTTTGCAAAACAGGTTAGAATAAAGAACTAAACTTTCAGATGTTTGCAACAGAATAAAATATCTGTTTTACAGGACAGCAGCCAAACACAGAGAGGAAGATGAAGATACAAAGAAAAGGAAAAAAAAGATCTTGAAAAACTTGAAAGCCAGAAAGAGAAGGAACACAAAAAAGCTCAAGAAAACTTTGCAAAAACAGTTCAAAAGGAATTAAAAAAATATTGACTTTTTTTTGTTTTGGTCTGTGCCACTTTCCAGTTTGCTGTACAGATTATCCACTTGCAATCATCTGAGTGAAGATTAATCCTGGTTTGGGTGACGTAGTCAGTAATTCCCTCCTCCTGGTCCTCTTCGTCTCACTCGTCTTCCTCCTCMGTCTCTGCAGGACTCATCCAGTCTGCTGAAGGTAAGGCTGCTCAGGTTGTTCATTTAACACAGCAAATACAGAAGTTAGACATTGTTTAAGTCATTGGATGTTGGTAACAGTTAAACAATTTGTAACAACCTAACATGATTTACTTTACATTTTCAACTGAATCGAATGCTTCTTTTGATCTAATGTTTGTGAATTTGAGATTTTAATGAAACTTATTGGAGCAGATTTGTTGGAGAGAAGCAGCAGAGTCTGAGTCACGACGTTGGGCTGAAAACACATCAAACTAACTTATCAAAATTAATTCAACACATGTATATCTATATAGATAGATGAATATATATTTGAATTTTCTTTTTTTGTTTTCTTGGTTAATTATAAAAATATATACAAATTAATCAGAGGGAGGGARGTATTCAGTCTTGTGTTTCCTAGAGGTGGAATAGCAACACATGAGGTCCCCTTCAGACTTTCTTTGGATCAGCAAGACTCATTTATTTAATAATTTAACGCTATTAAACTGGTTTTTGTTCCAAATCAGACCAGAAGCAGCTCCAGACATCCAAATCATGTACTTTCTTTGTTTCCCTCAGTACAAAAGAAAAATAAACTAAAAAAACAATTATGGGTGTTTAATATGCAGTCACATTATTATAATTTACTTTGTTTTTTCTTTAAGTGAAGAACTGAAATAGTGTATCAAGTCCTTTATTGAAGCTTGTTATAATGAATGAAGAAAACATTTTTAAAAAGTAACATTTCTACTTTATCAAACAAGAAGAAAAACTCACAAAGTGAGGCCAATGACTTTRTGGTGCCAATTTATAAAGGATGTATTATTGCTACATAACAAGTGTGTGAACACTATAAAACATTATGAAGCATTTCATAATAAACTCACTACCAGGTGAAATTAAACAGCTATCAACCTATAAGTCTTTACTAAGCATCTTTAAAAATGGCTTGTTGACTCTAACATGTGCCAACACTAAATATAAGCTGCATTTGATGTGTTATATTGTTTTTAATGATTAATTTAATTTCCTGCTTTTATTTATTGTGTGTTATTATTGTATTTTTATTTTTGTATCATACTGCTTTTTAACGTCATGGCCAGGGGACTATAGATGAAAAATAGCCGTTTGGCTAATTCTGGCTTTTTTT